GCCGGGTGTAGGCGTACCATGGCACTGACTGGGTGGATTTCGCCCCACAGCGGCTTGAACGATAGCTATGGGCTGTACCAATGTAGACTAGTTCACGTGGTCTGATGTCCATCCGCGCCGTGTGTGGCGAGAAACGGGCGGTGTCGTATATAAGCTTATCTACGACACCGCCCTCGGGGACACCGTCCAGCCGGGTGTAGGCGTACCATGGCACTGACTGGGTGGATTTCGCCCCACAGCGGCTTGAACGATAGCTCTGGCCTGTACCTACTCATCGCGAGTTTACGTGCGATCAGGCGATGTCTGTGCAAGGAGTTATGACCGGAACGTCGCTGACACCCCCCCGGTAAGTTGCGGAGCCCCCTATTTTCGGCTCTTTCTCCGCAACCACTTGGCCGATTTGACCCAAAATGGTATGGGCTGATAGCTGCGGGCCGTGGCTACACAGCGCATTTTGTTGTACGCTGATTGGAGCCCTGTGGGCCAAGAAATGGTAGGTGTCGTTTATAAGGAAGTACGACACCGGTGTCGTATATAACACTACCGCTTTGAAAACAGTACCATGCAGTAGTACGCGAAACCAACTGGAGCAACCATGCACGAATCCCCGAACACTTCCCACCGGTCCATCAATCCCAACTGTCACACAGTGTCTTTGCAGCCATAGGCCTCTACCGACTGTCTCCACTATGATTGGGTGAACGCTCTGATGTCCAACTACCATGTCGGTTTAGCGACATTGGTGCCCGTCCTCTCCCGGGCGGTTTGGGAGCTAACATTTTTGTAGATACGATGATGATGCTGGCATGATACGTGTGGCAACCGCCAGGCATGTGTGTTTGAGTGCGCACAGGTGAAGCACATGGGGGCTCGCACGTTTGGAAGTGCCGCATATGGGTGTGTGAGATAAATCTGCTATTTCGGGCTTCGTCCTGTTGCCGCCATTTAGGATCGAAATTGTGACAAGATATTGCGATGTCGCTACATCGGTTGTTCCGCTGCTATTCAGGTTGCCACTCTATCGGGCCACCTACTGCAGCATAAATCGTTGGAATGTGTGTGAGTACTACGCGCAGGAATATGTCTCATGCAGTCGATGGGTTTGCCCGAGGAATTTTTATCACCTAACGGCACGGGTGATGCGCTACCCTCTGGTTGACCCTTACAACATCTAGCTGTTCCTGGTTTTCGGTTAAAAAATATTCTTGGACAGCTGGAAACAAGCAATACTGCCCAGAGGCTTTATACGCAATCTACAGCACGGGTAGCAGACCCACCACACATCAAATGAAACACGGAAACCACAGCTTTCAAATGAGCCGGGCCTTGCTCTCATCAGGCAACCACAAGGTACAGTAGTTGCCGGCGAATATAGGGTACTTTTTCACTACTTTTTTGTGCGGGCCTGAAAAAAAAAACAGAACGGATGCGAATTAGCCATGCATGTAGAACTTTTTGGAAACCCTATGATTTCGCGCACGCGCACATCAGACCAGCGTTGGACGCAACGCAGCCGTTGTCGAGTACTGCACGCTCAAAGAGGGGCCTCTCAGCTATCGGCCGATGGCGAAGCCGAAGGGCAGGAGGCAGCCAACTGGTGGTGTAGTTGGACGCCCTTCCAAGTCGGACAAGAGAGGCAAGACAGCAGCAGCGAGAGGTGCGTTGGCCCAGGAGAGACTCCAAGCTGAGCTCGAGCAGCAACGTGCAGCGCTCGCGGCGGACAGAGCAGAGATGGCGCAGAGGGAGCAAGCGCTCAGAGAGGAGGCTGCGTTCGCCAAGGAGCAAGAAATGGCGCGCGCCGCTGCTCAGCGGGAAAGTGTGAGCAGCAGGAGGTTGAGCGCGTCCAAGCAGCAGCTGCTGCTGCGGCGGAGAAGGTTGCTCAGGGCCTGGACTACATGGACACATCTGTGCACGAGGTGAAGCCGAAGAAGGGCGAGGTCTGGACCCAGTTGCAGTCAAGGATGGTCCTCATGCTACTCTTCGACCTCCGCAAGGAAGGTTGCTCTGAGAACGAGGCGGTGTTGCAGGTCAGTACACAGCAGTGAAGGTCGGATGGTGTGGCACAGCAGCAGGCCGATGTCTTTTTTAAATATTCATCTTGATCAAAGAGGGGTAACGGTTGGTTTTTGAATCTTTACTCCGGAACGTGTGCTGTACACCCTATTTTTGCTGCCAACAGCAGTATGTTCATGTGTGGTGTGTGTGTTTTCGTTGCATTTATGTCGGGCGCGAGCCTTTGCCGTTCGTTACACGGTTGACTCACCTGTCTACGTCACACAAATATTCGGCAGGAATACATTGTACTGTTGTACAGCAGTTCTTTACAGCAGTACTTTACAGTACCTGAGCAGGCTTGCATGTGCGATGTCTCTCGGTGCAATGTCCAAGTGAACTGACCTTATTCATAAACGATGTTGCAATTTTTTCTCTTCTCTGGACCTCTCTATGCTGGCAGGTTGCGCACACTTTCAAGATCGGCCACGACAAGGTCAGACGCATCAACAACCACTGGTGGGATCACCGCCAGTTGTACGAGACCACCGCCGTGGGGAGAGGCAAGACGGCAAAGAAGGATGATGGGCGACGCCGCCTCACCGAAGTACAAGAAGATCAACTTCGCGAGTTCATCAATGACGAGCACAAGGCCGGTCGTCAAGTCTTTCGCCGCACGGTGGCAGAATGGATGCACAGGACTTGCAACATGGAGCAGCTGTCTAACCGTTCGGCAGGAGGGCTGCTGAGTAGGCTCGGCTACAAGCGTCGTAGAGGCAGGATCAAAACGCCACCGTTAAACGCCGAAAGACTTGCTCGCATTCGTCGGTTTCTTGTTGAGATGGTCATGGCAAAGAGGGCAGAGGATGCTGGGTTAGCAGTGATCGTGTACATGGATGAGAGTTTTGTCCACCAGGCTCATGGTTCCCCCTATTCTTACTTTCCTTCGGACGAGGATGGAGTTGTGCAGGATGGGATTGGTCGCACAACGGGGAAGGGCTTGCGCATGATCATGGTGCATGCAATCACGAAGTGGGGGCCGTTGGCTAAGCTTTGTGATGGGTTACCGATCGAAGAGGGCTGGTTCAAGGAAACGGGTAGCGGCAAGAAGGAAATGGAAGATGAGGAGACAGCAGAGTTTCTGTGGCAGGCTAAGTTGGCAAAGGGCGATTACCACGCAGCAATGACCGACTCGATGTTCATGGAGTGGCTTGAACACCGCCTTAGCCCTGCGTACAACGCGATCCCGGAGTTCAAAGGCAAACGGATGATTCTTGTTCTTGACAACGCCTCATACCACCATGGATTTGACGCGGAAGTCAAAGTGCCGGAAACCAACACCAAGAAGCACAACGTCGATCTGTTGCGTATGTTTGGGGCCAAGTCGATCAGGGTTAGGCGTAAGGAGGGCGAACAGGGCGTTGTTGAGTACAACTTCGAGGTACCGACAGAGCCTGGTTCTTCATTCCCTGCAGGGAACAGGGAGGGCGGTGTAAGCAGAGCGGAGGTAGCAACGGCCACTCGGGAGTACATCCACCTCAATCACCCTGAAAGGCTCGAGGAACGGGTGGTGACGTTCATGAGGAAAAAGGGGTGGGCGTTGATTTGGACGCCGCCCTACATGCCGTCCTTTCAACCGATCGAGCTTTTTTGGCAGCATGGTAAGCAGTACGTCAGCCTTAACTTTGAGTTGAAGCGAAAGATGCGGGAGGTGTGGGTGCAGATTCGTAAAGGTTGGTACGGGGACAAGGAATGGCCAGGCCAGGAGAAGGGGTGGAAGGCAGCCAATTGTTCGAAGCTGGTTGACCACGCCATTGGAGAGATGAATAAGTGGGTCAAGGACCGTGATGGAGTGCTTTCTGGTACGATAGGCAGCCTCGAAAAGCCGGACGGGTACGATACAGATGATGTGTCGCCCGTGGGTGATGTCGAGGAAGGGGTAGGGGAGCAGATCCAGCAGGAAAGCGCAGAATGGGGTGATGGCAGCGACGAGGTTGAACCATGATGAGATTTTTTTCAGCCTTGTGATCAATTGCTACACCCATGCACTGGGTGTACCATGTTCCAACAGCACACATATGTGATTGCTGTGCGCGGGGGGTTGCGTCCCTGCTTCCAGCTGCTGCAGTTGTTGAAAAACAAAAATCAATAGTATTTAATTGTCGACAAGTCTTACCCCGGATGCAGCTTGCCACACGTCAGCTGCATTCATGTTCTATCTTCTTGCGTATTGCCCGCCTTCGTCATGGAAGCGTTTTGCGCTACTGTATGCCGACAGGCGCTTAAAAATGTTAAGTTACAGGCCGAGAAGTGGGATACCAATGTTGGCCGCATGTTGCTGGGGATTTTTTCCGATTTTGAATCTCTGCTCAGGTACACGACAAGCCATAACCCAAGCAATTTGATTTTTTTTTTTTTTTTCATCGTGACCGCCTTTTCCCTGTCGTCAATTTGCGCTATCGTCTGCTGTGCTGCGCATCGTATTGCGAAAGTTACACTCCGAAACGAATATCTTTTAAATTGCTCCTATTAACTATGTGCCACCGTAATAGTACATTTGAATCAACGGTGCCTTGCGTGTTGCATTCCGTGATGTATGTGTTGCACACAGGCTCGATGTCATCTGCTGGCTTGGAAGCCGAGATTGGGGATCGTCTAGGTGAACCTTGCTTGCCGCTTCAATCGACGGGCTGCTCCGCCGCACGTATTGTCGGAAACTCGGCATTGACCCCCGCAGCTGCCCCCTACGGATTGAAGGGCCTGCGTGCATGCTTATTTTCTGCACCGTGTCGCTTTGCAACCGTGCGACGAAATTTGTTTTCCATGATACTGACCACGCACCCGTTGATGTTTGTTTGACGGAAGAAGTACTACCCCCCGCGCTTGTTGTTGACTGTCAAAAAGGTGGAGCTGTGCTCTGTATTAATCGTTGCCGCTCCCTGGTACTCTCACTCCACCAACTTCGCCATCACAAAAGGAATTATGATCCATGCCGGCAATTCGACCCTGTCGAGACTCTTTGGAGGCAGCACGCAGGCACAACAGCAGTTGAAACCTCTGCGGATTTTTTATGCTCATTTCGTAACATGAAGTAGACATTCCTTCTCCCCTCACAGCCAACTGATAGTGCTTGGGCATGTTGAACGTGGTTTGTTGGACGGCGTCAACAGGCCACTCCCGGCGTAGATGGTATGCAGGTGAAGGAAGAGGGAGAGGAGCAGGAGGAAGACCACGACGAGAGGGTAAGCTAGCGTTCGTGTCTGCATGCTATGGTTGTGTAGACTTGACATATTTGATGCCTGCCGCACCGAACTTCTTCATGTAGATGACCGCGTGCGTTTTTGCCGAAGTGTCGCCCCTCCATGAATTTGGGAGCATGATCAGTACGGCCTTCGAAGATTGTCGCTGTTCTCGACATAAGGGCGAACCCATCCCTTGCAAGGCAATGCACGTCACGGCATGAACTCCCTCAAGTTTGTTCGAATCATTTTGTTTGTTTATCTGGGAATCATCGTAGTACCCATATCTATTCGTTGTTTGCTTGCCGGTTC